TAGCATGACTGGGTTGAAAGACCTCTCGGAGTCACATGCCTTGTTACGGCATGTTGGTTTATCCGGTTTTCCTGTTCCGAGTTTTGAGTTTATTCTTCGGGATACGCAAGAAAGAAAGAGGAAATGATCATTAATGCTCCGTCTACTATAGGAGAAAGATGGCACTGATTGGATGGTCATGTTACTAGGCGGCCATTGTCACTATGATGTTATACCTAGTTCAAATGTTTATTTTTCTTCAATAATGTATTCTTTGCTGCTGAGGGTATTAAAGAAAGAGTGCAGCATAATACTCGCCTCCGTGTCTTTAATAAAATCATGACTTTCCTTAATGATAATTGTAAAATCCTTGAATTGTACTCTAATAGTTGATAACATGAGAATTATGCTGACTGTTACTTACATCAATTATTTAGGTAAATGAGAAAAATATCATTTGCATAATAATTTGGAACAGGGTGTAAATAAATACATATATTACAAAATAATGCTAAACGATGGCTATAACATATGCAATCGTTTATTTTACATAAGAAATAATGCTGTCCATTTTCCTTTAAAGGATGGTGTTTGAAGAGAGGCTACATGCGTAGCTGCTTCATTCAAAGGAAAACAGAGATACAATTCTTACTAGTGTTTATACAAACAGAGAAGATTCATTAGTTGGTCCTGATGTGTATGTCCCGCGAGACACATAATGAAGTCTGAAATAGTGCAAATGTTTTCACTATGAGAATGTTAATTCATTGCAAATAATTACATGTGATAGGATAACCCAAACCAGACTATAAATCAGAACGATTACAAAACATCTCAGCCATCATGCTGTAAGCCATGGAAATTGGTGAGGCATAAAGGCATGTTAATGGACGCAAGATGTAAAGATTTAGTTACGGATTTATACTGTAAATATATATATATTAGTTCAATATATCATCTATCCAAACATGACAGGGTCCCTAATCTCAGAGTAGTCTTGGGTAATACATGATTAGTGGGAGTTATGCTTCTAGACTTATGCTCCTATATGTAAATAACAGCTGCCACCCTGAATTATATTTCGAACAAATCTCAAGGGACCGGCGTATACAGTATTTTTATATATATATATATATATATATATATATATATATGGGATTAAAGAAACCCTAATACCAACACCAACACTAATTCTCACATTAAAATACTAGTACGCTTGTAGAAAGAAGAACCTAGTTAATATGTAACTGTCTCCTGTTGTTACGCAAATCTCAGGAAGCAATTACTGTAACAAATTTTCTGGAAATAAATACTGTCTGAAACACCACATAATAGTGAACTGTCTACTGAAACTTTGTTACAAAAATGCAATAAAATATACAAATGCAAAAAAAAAACCAAAAAACATAACCATGTAATCTTAAAGATATTTAATAGGGAACTGCGTATGGAGGGAAAAAAAATATTTTAGGGTTCTGCAAACAATTGTGACTCATCATTTGCTAGAATTCTTTGGTGGCATAACTTCCATAATACATAATTCATTCATATATAGGGTTATAACAAGTGAACATACTTGAAATAGTGCATGAATAAAACATCTCATACATCCTGGCACAGGCCCTAAGTCTGCAACCTAGATTGAGGATTTAAGGTAGGCAACCTTTTGCACTCTAGATATTGTGGACTACATCTCAGGCGGCTGCAGCATTAGGACCGGCCCGCTGCGGCCGGTTTTAAAATTATTTAGGGCAGCCTGGGGGGCAATTACCTCCCAGCCCCCCGGCCCAGCCCTCCCCTGGTAAGAGCATTATGGGCGATGTAGTCCAAAACATTTGGAGTGTCAAAGGTTGCCTACCCCTGATCAAATCATGACAAGAGAATCATTGACAAAGATGGGATATCGAAGGACAAGCTGGATTAGCATAATCAGAAATCTACATGGCAGATTATTAAAGGAGTACTGGGTAAGTTTCTATGAAAAGATGAGGTTTTAGAGCTGTGGAATTTTGGTGTAACACAGACTGAACGAGATAAGGAAGACAACACGGAAGACGTACTAGAGGTGATGTGAGAGAGGAGTGATGAAGGAGTATGAAGTTTGACAAAGTATATGAAGATAAGAGCAAGCAATAAAAGATATATTTAATGTTAAATATCTAATGCAGGCTTGGGTAAAATAAATTCCATTTTTACTAAAATAATTTTTAAACAACTTGACTATTTTAGCTAAAATTTCGCCACAATCAAATCTTAGTGAATAACTGCCAGGCCAAATGGTGGGTGATTTTATGAGAGAAGTTTGGATCCAGGTCACGGTGTCAAACACTGTTTTTCCTGTAAAACAAGTAATTCTTTCTTTAAGTTGTTGTACTAACAGACAAAGAACTAGACAAACATGCGCACTTCCTCCTAGCACCTTAAATTGTTATTTGCAGATTCCCTGTACTTTATACAATCTTTGTCTTCCTGGTTAATTGTAAACTGAGCAAAAAATGTAATAATATTGATGCTGCACAGCAACCACGTGAGTCTATAACTACACTTTGACGCCGGTAGCAGGGACTTGTAAACTAGTTTGGACAAAGAAAAGAACCAGTGGTGAAGCCTAGCTACTAAGCAGAGCAGACATGTGGTGCCTGAGCTCCCGAATTTTGGGCTGCTTTTAGTTCAATTTCCCAGCTACCGAGCCGCTAAGATGAGATGCTGGACTCTCTAACGTGGCCCGCATGCGGCATCGGATGAACAGGCCTGAGCACACTTCTATATACACTGAGACTACCATCTCAACCTCATTGCAGAATTTAGGAATACATGCATAGTCGTAGGCCATCTACTTTACCTATGTTTGTTTTGTACCCTGTGGTTCCTCTATTATGCAAAATATCTCTCTCACACAATCTGTCTCCCGTAAACTTCTTATGGAAATTCCTTTTCGTCTTGAAAAAAACAGTAATACTAAGCTTTCCCTCACCATGTCCCAGCTGCCTCTCACCTAGCATATTAGCCCTAATTTTGTTTCCTCTTAAAACATGTATGTTGAGCTCGCTTACCCAGTGGTACTATAGCTTCTTCATTATCAAGCACAACTCAAGCTCGTAAAGCACAACACAAGCACAGCTCAAGTTTGGGATTTGCTGCTGAACATATTCACTCTTTGATCAAAGCTACACTCGAGACACAAGGCAACCGTCTGTGGCCTGGTACTGACAGTGCTGGGGAGAGCCAGCCAATCTCATTAAAGCTCCAGTCCAGTACCCTGTTCTTGCTGCTCTCCTACCTTTCCCGTCGGGACCAACAGGGGTTATCCCAGTCCCCACTAGGCTACTGTGGAATGGACTGAGCTCTCTTTATCTAACCTGCTCACTGCACACCGCTTGGTTCTACACGCAAGATGGTGGCTACCCCTTTACATGTTGAGTGGGGCCTGTGCCTAGACCACAAGCCTACCCCTGGCTCTATTGTGTACACCCTACTACACCTGGATAAAATTTTTGCGAGATTCTTGATGGAACTTCATGAGCAAGAAAAGTCTAACGTGACAGAGCGGCAGGAGGATCGAATGACAAGCAGGATGCTGGGGAAGGTGGGACTTCTTCAGGGTGAACGCTTCCTACAAATGCCTTCTGCTTCTGACCTCCACCCACCTGGGCGCAGAGCCATTCGAGGCACAACCTCACTGCATTGCCCATATACCCAGAGGCTCATACGCCAATGGTATTTTCTACCATCTGGATCCTCTACTTACCCTGGAAGGGTAAACGACTTGGCTCCCTGGAGTGCCCAAGTCTATGGGCTAATAATGCAGGCCCTCACACAGGACTGGGGCTGCAGGAGAGCCTTGCTCGGGCATGGATCTGCAGTTCTTCATCCGGACTTTCCTAAGTACATAACAATCCTATCACCGATCATGCACACCGATGTGGAGGGGACAAGAGGCATTGGGACAGATGAGATGCTACACTCTCTACCGTGGCTTCAACCTGTGGCATCAGATAATCACACCTCTATATATGCTGAGACTACCATCTCAACCTCGTTTAGATTTTATGATTACATGCATAATGGTAGGCCATCTACACTATCTATATTTGTTTTTTACCCAGTAATACCTTTATTATGCCCAATCTGATCTTTCTAATGTCACCCCTAAACGTATTCTACTATTAACCTCTCTCTCACCATGTCCAGGTTGCCTCTCACCTAGCATATTAGTCCTAATTTGTTTCTGGTCTAAACATGTATGTTAAGCTCGCCCCCCACTGGTACTATAGCCACTTCATTATCAGTTGGTATATCCTCCTCTCTACTGGCATATTACTTGCCTTGTCTTAATAGCAAGTTGTATTTTCAAAATAATGATGCGGGATAAGCAATGAGTGCATTTCTTTGTGTTGGTACATCTTATAGTGCTCATTCTCTCCCTCACATTAATTCTTTATCTGTGTTTACATTGCTGCCATGACTCCTCTCTGTATGTATCGTATACCCTCTCTGTCTTAATAAAAAAAAGTGATTGACAAAAAAGAACCAAAGAAACAACCATCTGCACAACGTGCTAAGTTTGATCAGTGCGACCTTCACAAATGGTGCAATAAAAAGTCATATTAATTGAACAGAACAGCATTGATTACTTTTTATAATATTAATATTACTGCTCTCCGGACATTGATGCTATTGTTTATCTTTCTTTGACAAGCAGCAGAATATTCTATAGCAATACACAATTTATGTTAGTTACCAATACACATCATAAAGCCAAATTTCTATATCCAGGTGAAAAGAGAGTATTGTGTCTGTGGACTAACAGTTTAGCTGGCTGAAACTTTCAAATAACCAACTGTTAGTGAAGGGCTAATAAGACCATTACACTTATATTCCAGCTGAATGTGGTCATTGTTCCAGGGTGATTTTTCAGGGGACATTTGTGTATTTTTTTTTTTTTTTTTAGAATTCTTTATTTTGGTTATACATAGTAGTACAAGAACTTCCCCAGCCACAACAGCTGATATCAGACAATTGCATGGTATCACGAAAACTGCACGATTCTTTTTTTAAGTAATAAGAAAGAAATATCAGGCTTATGCAAATATAAGGCGGGTGTTTTACACAGTTATCAGTAGGCTAAAAAGGTTATGGAGCCGTGGTGGGTGGCTAAATCAAAACGTAGGTGTTCAGGTTAGGCACACAGGTTGCAGAGAGATCAGAGAGTTAGCCTATAGGATAACAAGGCCCTCCAGACATGTATGGGAGGTTTACTATAAAACACAATGAGCTCTGCCCTTAAACACCGTAAGAGAAAATCAAGGTCTAAAACGCATCTCTATTAGCTTGGTATAAAGTGAGTGTAAATGTTACAGAGAGAATTATAGAGCTAGGTATTACTACGTGAGGTAAATTTAACATGAGATACCAGAAGTGCTATACAGCAATTGGGTACAGTTAACATGGTATAATATGCAAAGATGGATCCCTGCATTTCACAGCAGTAACATTATTACTATAAATAGCATATATATCTCGATGTGAGGGCATTTTAAATAATAGAATATAAGGCAACAGGCCAAAAGCAAAATAAAATTATGAGTACACGCTTGCAGCTTGTAAGCATAGGAGATTTGTTGGCCTTCATCTTGCATGAGTCCCCTTTCATCCGATCCCTAATAGTGGGAAGCTGCCTGGATATTTTGTCGGGTCAGCGTTGTTCCACTGCCCCAGCCAGGTTACATGCCGTAGTGCCGTGTGGGGTTGTCTGTGCAAGGGGTCTTCACCTCGCAGCGCTTGATTTGCAGGTTGATCTGCAGCCATGCGGTCTTTGATTCTCCGCCCCCGTGCTGTTTGAGAGCGGGTCCAATGGCGCTCTGCCAGCCGGGAGTCCTCCAGATGCCCGTTTGGCTGCTTGGAGATTTCTTCAGGTGGGACCCCGGTCTAGGGCCAGGCCGGGTGTGCGTTGCAGTCTTCAGCCTAACCGGCACGGCAGGGGTGTACTGTCGGTGGAAAATGCGCCTCCAAAACTTGTGGCAGAGAGCATCAAATGCTCCCTCCATTTCTGGATGACTGTATAGTCCTGAGGCAGCTGAGGGTGAGGAGCGGCGGCCAAGTTTGGTTCGCCACATGGTTGGCATTTCAGTGGGGGACCATGTGGCATGCGTGAGGGAAGTTTCCCCAGCGGGGATCGGGATAATCCCCACTGGTCTGGGGGGGGGTGGGGGGGTTGCAGGGCCACAGACGAGCCTCCGATCAAATAGAGTCCTGTGTCATGAGATCGGCAGCTTCCCCCACTCACCAGGCCGCTAGTTACGCTAGGCTGCATGTTCTAGAGGTGGAGTTAACCCTGCAAGGTAATTATTGCAGTTGATCAAAAGCTGCAATAATTACAAATACAGGGTTAAACTGACAGGGGCACTGCACCCAGAACACTTCAGTGACCTGTAGGGTTCATATATGGTGCCTATAGTGTCCCTTTAAAGTTAGAAAAGTTTACTTTAAAAAATATAGGATTATTTACTAAAAAGTGAATTTAAGCTGAATGGGAAGAACCTGAGATATTTTTTTTCTAGTTTGGCTATTTTAATGTGAAATTTGAAATTCACTTTGAAATCACCTTCATTAAATTCTCAGTGAATAACCCTGTCTGAATTCTGAAAAAAATTCCCACTTGAGGAAAAAAAAGACAGATAATTTATAGATCAATGTAAAAAAAAAGTGAAAGAATGCATCGAGTGAAAGAAAATATGTAACTGTACGTAGTCACTGTCTGAAAAACAAGGATGGTTATAGAGTGAGTCAGACTCAGAAACTATGCAAAAACCTGTAAGTCAGGCTACAATAACCCAACTGTGACTACAATTATCTACAATGTATTGCCTATTAAATACTATTTTTAAAGTAAAATAAAATTCTTTCTTATATAAAATAGATAGATGGTGTACCTATAACATTTGTTACTCTGCCCCTACATCTTCCTGGATCTATTATAGACAACCTTGTGAATGAAGTGGTCTGGGTACAATGGTCCTGCTGTTTTAGTCCTGATATATGGCAATGTTTTCATAGCAGGACTAAAACCCATCTGTTTTTCTGACTTCCTGCCAAGGTGATCGTCCTCAAATTCGTATCAAAGAAAAGACCTGGACTTAATGCTTCTCTAATAGCATCATTGGGTTGGGCAATAAGATAAGAGACTGTCTTATCATGGAGTACACTTTTTTCCCCCTTTTTAAAATTTCATTTAGGAGGGATCTTGAATCTAAATAGGGGTTAGAACACGATCGTTTTAGGAATGTGTTTGTATTCCCAAGGCTATAGTGTTCCTTTAAGCATTTTACAGGTACTTGGCTGGTTTCTGATTTCTGAATGACCCTGTATTTATTTATAAAGGGCTTGATCATGATCTACTGTCGATATTCAATCACTAACTTTTTCTGAAACATTGCTTAACACAATCCAAAGCCAAATATGTCACAACCTTTTTCTGCTAGCAATGCCGCTTATGCTAGAATTCACTATAGACATAAAACTGGGCTTTATTTAAGTCAGCATTGTGAATAACGCAATCCCCAAATTGGTTCCCCTTTTATAGTGCGGTGGTGATGACAACAGCTAATTTTATGTTCTAAATTTACATTATTATGCGTGTATGTTTCTTTAAGCATATTAAAATCCAACATTTGGATCTAGTCCACATGTGTATTAAGTGTTATATTTTATTGCTTCATTATGTTAGTGTAACAGGTACCTGTATGTAAAAGATCAGTTATCTAGAGATAAAACAATATATCAATAATATCAATAACAATGGATTATTAAAATCGTTGATTTAACACAAATCGTACTGTAATACAATCAGTTATACATTATTTCTCATAGTCTACCTCTGCGATTACTTGGGTTTAATGAATACTGTTATCAAAGTGTAAAATATGTGAGCAGTGGGGTCTATGGCCAGCCGTTTATTTAGTTAGTGGTAGAAACAGTTTATGTTAGATAGGCATTGTATGGCTATGATTACAAGGCCATCGGTTATCTTGCACTGCAAATACTGGTTCTATTATTCTTTCCCAGGACTGTATTTTCAATGAAGCCTAGAACTCCACATTAATCATTCACGTTCATTTGCTGAGTCACACCTGAACTAACTCATAGAAAACGTTTCACTAGTTTCAGCTGCAATAGAATCGATGACTGAAACCAAAAGCTGAATGCGGAAACACGTCAGCCCCAGTGTTTATTTGGTATGTATAACAAACTAGAATAGGTGCTTTCATATAAACGGAACACGGCACGAAAGCAAAATAACTCTTTTTGTGATATGAAAAAACAAACAAACATGTTTAAAGGTACACTCCAAACAGCATAACCACCACAGTATTCCGTATTGGTTATGGTGCCATAAGTGCCCTGATTTAGAATGCTTAGAATTTTTACCAGGGCTCCATTGGGCCCCACTTCCCACCTGCATTACCGACAATGGAGAGTTGGTCTAGGTTTAGCTGGGGCGCTCTGAAGTAGTGGAGGCAGTGAATGGCACCAGGCGGACCCCAGTTAAGAAGTCAAATCATTCTAAAATGGTTTGTTTACATACCATGGGGAAATGCGAGAGCCCTCCTGACACCATAACCACTACACTGTAGTAGTTATGGTGCCTGGAGTGTTCCTTTAAATTAAAAAGTGAAAGGTCAAGACAAAAAAATTAAATCAACTGCTAAAATAACCTACAGCTCTTACATGGTTCTTCTTAAGCAGACTTGCCATTAGAAATTAAAATAAGGGGGCGGAGCTTGGCAGCCACGCCGCGCGGTCGCACATTACATGGGCTCCAAGTCAAACTGCTCATAAATGGCTACAAAAATAGCAAACAGACCTTCCAAACTTTCCGTTTGCTTGCACAAAAGCCCCAGAAGCAGGGGCCTCCCACGGCAGCCTCAATCGACAGGCGTTCCGACCGAAACCGACAGTTTCTCCCCGGAGATTGACCTGAGGCCTGCGGAGGGCCTGACTGGACGGCATGAGGGAGGTGGCCGATCCCTTAGCCGCAGCAGTCTTCTCGGCTGGAGGTCTCCCCGGTATACTCTACCTCCCTCCCCCGCCGGTGGGGGTCATCCCGGCAACCACAAGCGGAGATCCAGCAACAAAACAAGGAGCCGACCAGGCCCTATCAGCACAGCTGAACAAACAAGTAGGGAAAACATGGCAGACGACACGTGCAGCACTACGCCCAGCACCACACTGCCCTCTCTGTCGGAGAGGATTGACCGTCTATTGCATGATTTCTGGGCCAAACTAGCCCTCCGCAGAGACAAACCTGAAGCGGTATCACCAACAGGGACACCACAAAAGCCAGTACAGCAACCAGCAAGCCCTGGCGGAGGCCGAGAAGCAGACCGAGTCACGGGGAAGAGAGTACGGGTGATCCGACGACGACCTAAGCCTAGAGTCCACCAACCCAAACCACCGGCATGCCACCCACAGAGAATGCAGTACAAGGGGGCTCAGACCCAGAGAGAGCAGCCATACTCTCTCCAACTGCGCTGCTCACCATCTGGAACACCATCCGATGTAGCTGACGGGTGGGCAGAATCCACACATAGCGTATGGGAGACGGAAACCAACGGGTCGGAGAACATGGCCCATAAAAACCAATGCCCGCATCTGCCTTCCTGGGCCAGGGGTCCCAAAAGGGAGATACCCTACTGCGCATACCACATACCTGGATGGGACATATCCACCTTGCAACCGCCCGGGTCCTCGCTTGCAGTGCAGAAAGTGACCGGAGCGGTGGGAACAGCGCGAGGACCCTTGAGAAAGCCTGGGGCCAGCGGCGCAGTCAAACGTGGATATGGTCCCTAGACCCACTTGCTGTCTGCTTCCCGACAGTGGGCATAGGGTGACCGCGAGACCACATATCTGGACAGTTCCATGGCACACATGCTGGGACTTACTTGCAGGCAGCTCTGAATAGGCAGATGGTCACTGTCTCCTGAACGTTAAAAACTCTATCGACAATGCATATTCTGCTCTTGTTTAACAAAAAATTAAACCCATCCGTAGCTCAGTGATGTGTTTCTTAATAAGTATAACCAAATGCAGACACGCCTCAAGTCCTGGGTGGTTTACAAATGTTAAGCCTACTATATACATGTCATGATTAATCCTGCAGGAGAAGTGGCCCATAGCCTAGACGGGCTCTATATTTTGAATTAACTTTAGAATGTATTCTTTGAGTTACCTGTACCTGTGCCTTGCTGAACTACATGCCTTTAGCTGCCTAGCATAACACACCTGTAACGTTACATAAACCACTCGTGCCCACTGCCGCAGTGATGGTTATGCATGTCTTGTTTCCCCCCCCCCCCTTTGGTCACTCCTCTGAGTACCCTTCCTTGACGTATACGCCCTGCAAACCTAATTACACTACACGTGAACCTAACCTGTTGTTACTCACACTTTCCCTCCTCGAAACACATACTACAGCTGTGGGATAACTCTACACAATACTGCCCTGTGCAACCACAACGGTAAACGTACACTCAGCTATGCCTCGCGCAGTGTGCTTTAGCTCATCTACACACTGTAATAACACAGAAGACTGGAGCAAGAGAAATGGCTCTAGACAGGATGTTTTTCTCTCTCATTCCTTCAGTCTCATGCTAGACCACTAAATCTGTCACACTAGATGATGCTTCCTGATTCTAGACCTTCTTCTCCCTCATGCTATACCATCTATTTCCTCATTCTAGATCTCTGACTTGTTTGCTCTATTGTGCTGATCCACATGAAATACCAGTTTTGTTCTTCTCGTTCATACTAAACCACCTGCTTCCTCATACAAGACCATTTCTCTCGCGTAGTAGACCACCTTCTTCCTCATCCTAGACCACCTTCTTCCTCATACTAGATCAACTGAAAGCAAAAAAATATTTAAAGGCTCAGAATCTACACTACAAATATGCGTAAAAAGTCAAGGGGGAGAGATTGGCTAAATGTTTGGTAAGGGCTGAATGAAAAGATTGATGCGGAATAGAATGACGTGCTGAATGTTCCAAGATGATTAAAAAGTTCTAATTGGATGGGAAACAGAAGGGTTGAAGGACTTAGACCAACTAAATGTAAAGCAAGTGTGAATTAAATGTCACAGACATAAAAAATAACACATGGCAGTGGTGTAGAAGGAAAAGTGAAGAACATTTAGTCGTACG